GGCCAATTTTAATATATTTTTAATACTTCCCTTAATATGTTCGATGTATCCAGAACATCTGTTATCCGAAGAATGTCTGATTATCGATGCTTTTCTGGTATAATTATCAGATATTTTTATTCCTTTGGTTATAATTCCTGCAGCTTCAAAGATTAACTGTAAGAAAAAGCATTTCAAATTCCATATTTGCTAAATTTTTATATTTCGTTTCTTGTATTTTATTTTATTTTCGGTCCCCTGTTTTACGTTCCTATTAACGGTATTTCTGCGTCTATTACGAAGCAAATTAAACTTTATTCTTTTCAATTATTATATCTAGAATAATTTTCAGAATCTATTTGTTATTACCCTTGAATTTCATAGCATATTTATATCATCATGTTCAAATATTGACTAAGGAATATGTGACTACCAGTTTTCTGTTTTTGTTATTATTATTATTATTGTTGTTGTTACAAGTAACAGAAAGATGGAAACAGACCGTAATCTTAAATCCACATCTCTTTCCAATCGTCTGCTTGATGCGTTGGACAAGAAGGAAATTTGACTGTCATCATGTCTTCAGAAATCCGCTAAGAAGTCAGCGGATTCCTGTGACTTACGTGGTTTAGCTACTATAAATTGAAAAAGTGTCATTTTTTCGTACGGTAGCAAGGACAGGGATTTATTAACGCAACATAAAGATATAGACTATAATCCAATAATCTATAGACAATCATCTCCCGTATGGCCAACTCTTCTGATCAGGGCTTATTGACTCATGTTGTTTTCTAAATATTATGTACATGAGGTTTGTATTTCAAAAAACTACCTGTTACCTACGTGACTTAAGCTTTGGAGACTATTCCAACATAATGAACACACTTTTCGTGAGTCTAAAAAGTCTGTATACTTAAAATTTACAATAATTATAACTGACAGTTGATTATAATTTAAAAGAAGCTTCTAGATATTTCCCTTTTAAATGTCTGTTAATAACATTTAGTGTTTATAGTTTTGATGCGTCATGTTTGTGTTTAATATTCACATATATATTTATTATTCAAGTCATATACACAAACTTTTAAATTATTGATGTTAAAATTTAAAATTTAAAATTGCATTAATAAATATAGAATAGTTTTAAATATAAAAACCTGAAGGTGATGCTATGACATCGAAACATGTATAAATATTAAAGCGCAAAATTGTAACATCGAGTTAACGATGAATGGCGCAGAATATCAATTTTAAATTTTAAATTTTAACATCAATAATTTAAAAGTTTGTGTATATGACTTGAATAATAAATATATATGTGAACATTTAGTGTATTTCTAATAATCAGTGTCACCCTTCGATATTAACGAAACTGACTGAAGTGGGCGTGAATTTAATCATTTTAAACCTAATATGTTGTGTGACCTTGAAATAAACATACCTAAAAATATAAGCTGAACCTCTCTTAATTAGTTATTTAAATATATTTACAAACAACGTATTACAACTAACACTGAAAGTATTATATTTCATAATTGTGAAATATTAAGACGAAATGGAAATTACTCACACTGTTGCGAGGTTAAAATTCTATGCCAAAAAATGTTCGAAATAAAGTGATTAAGTTCCTTAATGTAGCTCTTGAGATGGTCTTAATGTACTTGCACAAGACAAAGGCATTTCTTTTAATTTACTTCGTTATCACACTATTTGTGTATCTTTCTAAGTTACTTAAATGTATTCACACAGCTTCAAAGACATTATAAATTGTAACGTACCAAAGTCTACAGAAATATTACGAGTTTGTATGTACAAACTAAGACACAAACAATAAATTAATTTTTAAATAATAATTTAAAATCTAAGAAAGGCTACACAGAGAATCACTATTTATGCCCAGAATTTCAGAATGAAACCGGACAGAAGTTGCTTACTGACAATATCCAATTTATTACTATGAAACTATATGAATGCCTTTAAAATAGCGTGCAATCTTTGAACCAACTTATTTATTAACTTTAGGCACGGAGAATTATAACTTCATTTAATTCATGCTCTTGTAGGTTTCTCTTTCATTACCACAAACGCACAATTTTAATTCATTAGAAGAGTTTAGAGTTTGGACAAGGCATGCTATAAAATATATTTTTATACACACATAACGTAATGAAGTAAATGCATATGAAACCGGATAATTGTTGAATATGCCATCAGAGGGCCATAAAAATCAAATTCTCGATCAGTTTCGTAAATAAAAATTAAAGAATAAAATCTACAGTTCAGAAGTTTAAAATTTTATACCACATAGACTTTAACAGAATAACATTTATATACACACTAAATATTTACGTAAACACGGAAATTCACCTTTGAAGTCCATAAAATGCCTTTAATTTCTTGGCTAGCCGGTCATAATATTAGCTCCGTTGAGTCATTGCAGCATATAAATGTCACATATTTAATCGAATTTCACTAGACATCTTGATATTTACCTTTTTCTTAATAAATTGACCAAAATGTTACATATACCTATTCTTCAAAGAACACAACATTCTGATACCAATTAACCCTCTGTTTCTCAAGAACTCTTTTCCACAGAGTTTGTCAGTTATCAGATTAGTTAGTATACGAGGTGCGATCGGAAAGTTTCAAGACTGCGCCTATAAAAACCCGTACACTTATCTCAGGTATTAAATTCATCCATCACCCTCGAAGTAGTTCCCCTGGGAGTGACCACAACGATCCCAGCCCCGCTGCCAAGCCTGGAAGCATCACTGGAAATCTTTCTTTGTCAGCCTGTCAAGCACCATCTGCGATTCTGCCTGAATCTCTTCTATCGTCTCAAATCTCCTTCCCTTTAGCTGAATTTTCATCTTGGGGAAGAGGAAGAAGTCACACGGCGAATAAGGAGGGGGCGGGATGACGGCCATGGTATTTGAGGCCAGAAACTGCCGAACTTTGAGGGCGGTGTGCGCTGGCGCGTTGTCATGATCCGTCGCATGTGGAGTTCTTCCTTTAGAATCAGCTGACAGGTCCCATAGCCTATCCCAACAATGTCGCACAAGTCGTTGATGGTACGACGTCGATCTTCGTGAAGGGCCTGCCGAATCGTCGTAACATTTTCGGGCGTTGTGCTCGAAGATGGTCGTCCAGAACGCTCGTCATCATCGACAGAGGTTCGGCCATTTTTAAAACGTGAATGCCACACAAAAGTTTGCGGACTCCCCAAATGCTTGCTTTAGCATTTCATAGGTTTCCGTAGCCGTTTTGGCGAGTCTTTGGCAAAATTTGATGCACACGCCATTCCGAAATCGCAGGAGGGTCGGTGTAATGCACTACCAAAACGCCCGTAACTAAGAAACAAATGCTAATTCGATGATGCCGGCTGGCACACTGATTCACTATGAATGTAGGCCGCACCCCCTAAAGGAAGAAGCTGGTACTACATCCGGTTCGCCCGCTATTGACACAGTCTTGAAACTTTCCGATCGCACCTCGTAGTTATGTAACAGTATTCTAAAATCTTATGCCAAAAGTGTTGTTCACATGTTATGGTTAGTATAGCTATAAATGTTCGAAATATTGATAAGAGCATATTAAATACGCCAAAATATTTCACAAAAATAAGTCCATTATGAATTACACTACAGACTAGTGTCTTCAGAAGGGACTGTTCTTTCCCAAACCAAATAAAGCTTACAAGTTTCTCTCTCTCTACGAAGCATGACTCATCTGTGGAGTGTTACGGTAATCGACTACGTCGTCCTGGTATTATGGAGGACACACAGTAACACACATGACACTACAGACGGACTGTCCATATGGACCATGTAATAAATAATTCCGATAAATGTCTTCTAACATCACATAAATTCAAATGTCTCACTTCGTCATAATTATAAGTTAGAAATTTTAGTTTGAGTTAGACGTGTTCTCCCTAGAAATATTTAATTAAGTTTTAACTTCATATAAAGTTCTTAACTTTTTTTTTGTAGTTATAATGCAGTTTTCTTTAGAAACAAATGTAGCACTACGTTCTCAGTTTAGAATTTCTTCTACCGACAAAAAGTAACAATTAACAAAAGACACCCAATGCATCTAATTAAAACACGTTTCAAAATACGTATCTCGTAAAATGTCCACTGAAGACAGAAAACACCTCACCTAAAATATATCAAATTACTATTAACGCAGACTTGAGCAAAGACCTATTAGTATCGAAAATATCCTGATATTCCAAATCCTGTTTCTAACTATTATCCAGATAGTCTCCACTAGACTTAATTCGCAAGTTTACAACTTCACAAACATATAACAAGATTTTTGTCTTCTGAGTTCTGTGTACAGTCCACAGATCAAAAGAAAATTCCTGCTAGGAATTCGATATACGCGCATGCGCAAGATTTCGCGGTGAGTGACGACCCATCCTAAAAGCATTCGTTCCACAACCACTGAACGAACAACAGACGACAGGCTTTCATGTGTTCT